TCCCTGGGGGTGGCCCGTAGCCAGTGACAAATGGTGCAGGGGTACACAAGGTGGGCTTCTTTGCCTCCAGGTGGGACAACTCCATTCAGGCTGCAGACCTCCCTGTGGGATGAGAAGAAAGCTAGACTGAGGCCAAGCTCCTGTCTCCGATGAGCTTTTTCCCTGTCCATGCTCTCACCCCCACATCCTCCCCGGTTTCTCCTGAGAGCATTCCCTGATAAACCATATCACTAAGCACGGGACTCCCCATCTTAGTCTCTACTTCTAGGAAATCTGACTGTGAACTTACCCCAAATAAGTTCCCCTGGTAAAATAGAAAGGGTAATGTCAGCCAAGTATCAAGAGTGAGGAGAATGCAAGAATCTGATAAGAAAGGAGGATAAACCAGGCGAGGTCACAAGCCCCATGGTCCCAGTTACTTGCGAAGATGAGGCCAGAGGATTGAGTCTGCAGTGAGCTATGATCACACCACTGCATTCCAGTCTGGGTGACAGTGAAAGACCACGTCTACTTAAAAAAACATTTTGTAATGGAGGGGGCCGGGTATGTTGGTTCACATTTGTAGTTCCAGCACTTTGGGAGGCTGAGGCAGGATTGCTTAAAGCCAAGAGTTTGAGACAAGCCTGGGAAACCTAGCAAGACCCATCTCTATAAAAATGAAAAATTTTAAAAGTAGCCAGATATAATGTCCTGCACCTGTAGTCCTAGCTATTAGGAAGGCTGAGGCAGGAGGATCTTGAGCTCAGGAAGTCAAGGCTGCATCATTGATCTATGATGGCACCACTGCATTCTATCCTGGGAGACAGAGCAAGACCCTGTCTCAAAAAAAAAAAAAAAAAAAAAGGATAGGCCGGGCATGGTGGCTCATGACTGTAATCCCAGCACTTTGGGAGGTCGAGGTGGGTGGATCACTTGAGGCCAGAAGTTCAAGACCAGCCTGGCCAACATGGTGAAACCCCACCTCTCAAAATACAAAAATTAGCTGGAAGTGATGGCTCACACCTGTAATTCCAACTACCTGGGAGGCTTAGGCATGAGAATCGCTTGAACCAGGGAGATGGAGGTTGCGGTGAGCTAAGGTTGAGCCACTGCACTCCAGCCTAGGTGACAGAGGGAGACTCCCATCAAAAAGAAAAAAAAAAAGAAGAAAGGAAGGAGGATAATCCCATGACATGAGGCTCAAAGATGGAGGAATTTACAGAGGTGTAAGGAATAATGGGGAAATGGTCTAAACATGACCCTGGTGATTAAGATGAATGCTGACCCTGCTGCCTGGCCC